CTATCATCTATCTATCTATCTATCTATCTATCTATCTATCTATCTATCTATCTATCTATCTATCATCTAAATATAGATATAGTGAGAGAGAGGGAGGGGGAGAGAGAGCTATTTTTGTCACATTCCAGTGTTTTTTCCACTCTGGCTGGAACAATGATGACTGAAGTTTGCTTTCTCATTTGTGTTGATATTTAATGTAAATGCAAACCTCATCCTTTGTTTTATAAGATAATAGAAGAATATCACATTATAATAGAACAGATGTGATGAACAAGAACTGCCCAATTAGATTTATTAATGATGTGCATTGTTTTTCTTTAGGAAATATTCAAATAAAGATATTGGTTTTTATTTGGCAGAAGGGAAGCGATCAGCAACAGCTGTCTTGTTGTCACCATTGATTTTTAAATGGAACTAGACAACCCCTGCCCTCTTGGGTCATTCTTTTCAGAAATATTTCCTTAACAGATTCGTCACTGCCTTCAATGATGACAAAACGTCTAATGCACTGCCTTCGCTGGAAAATCTTGGATACAGTCAGAGAAAAGTAGCCCATGCTGAACTGTATAGCAGAGTCAAACATCATAGTCAAGGAAGTTTTATGACATATTGGGTCATAAACTGCTTCGTGATATTTATGTCATAAAATGTTCTATCAAATTTGCCAAATTTCAACTCCAGGGGAATCGTGGGTCTTGGATTTTGGATGCCTTCTGCAAGTTGGAGCATCAAGGTTGGCTCAGCCTTCCATCCTTCCGAGATGGGTAAAATGAGGACCCAGATTGTTAGGGGCAAGAGGCTGACTCTGTAAACCGCTTAGAGAGGGCTGTAAAGCACTGTGAAGTGGTATATAAAAGTGCTATTGCAAATCAAATTTATTAAATCAAATCAAATCAAATCAAATCAAATTGCTATTTGAAATACCTTGTTTCAAAAATAAAATTGCCTGATGGTGCACTGTTTCAACCAGTTACCAGTTACAGGAGCCAGAATTTTAGCAGTACAGAAATTGTTTCTACCTTACCAACATTTACTGAATGCTCTGCTGTTGCTGTTGACACTATTTTTTTCTATCTCTCATCTTTATCCATCTATTTAGTTTTCTTTATTCTGGATTTGCTGATATAGGTTTACCACAATATGAAGGTAAGTTTGCAATAGGGAATATCAAGGAAAGCTTGATAATCCTCCCCAGTTTATTATCATTAGGAAAGCACGTACCCTGACTGCAGTGGGGTAACAGCTAAAATTTTATAATGTGGCAGTGTATCCTACTTCTCCCTCAAATAACCTGCCTAATGGGACAGAACACATATTTACATAGAAATGGAAAATACGGTATGTAATATAAATCGTCTGAAGTGACTATTCAGAAAAGTCCTTTTTACATAATATGAAGTCTTTAATAAACAGAATCCAACAACAATTTTCTCCTTGAAAAACATTTTCCTGTATAATAGTCATCAGTGGCTTAACTGATGTTTAAGTTTTTCAAATATGTAATCATACCAATTTGTTTGATGTCAACTGTAAGCATTTGGGTGGCTGGTTTAACTCTTACTAAATTGGGGAACTCTTATTAGTTGATCTACCTCAATCTTTATGGACCTAGTTTCCAGCATGCAGTACAAAGAAATCACGAAAAGCATTAAAGCAGATGAACTGAGAGAGTTCACTACTTGTTTATCTGGGGTATTTCAAGATCTGAGGAATAGTTGAATCTTTAAGCCTTGGGTGCAGGAAATCAAGAGGAGAAATGCTACTAAATTTCTAAATGGCTGGCACAGGAGATTGTTTTACCTTTCCTCCATAAATGCATGGAAATTGTTGGAAAGCAGAATACAGGTTAGTATAAAATAAATTTCTAAGAATTGCTTAACAGTAGATTAATTAAGCTGACTTTGGAAACTGGAGATTCTCCAATGGAAGTAGAGATTAGAGGACCATCATCTGAATGCAGTTAACATTCTTCATTTGAAAATTTGCACTGTGCAGATGATTGGATCATATGCTCTTTAATTTCCTGCCAAATTGATGATTCTTTCATGTAATAATTTTGGTATTAAACATGCACAACTCATGGAAGCCATGCAGCTTCTGAAGTCTTTGTGCCGATTGTAGAACACACAATCCTAATAAACTCCAAGGGTCACTAGAAGCTTTTATGACAGTAGGAGCCATTTTAATAGGGGGAACTCAAAGGGGAAGTGTAAGCTACTTCCATTTAGGAAAAAAGAAGCGTAATTGATAGGTCTCTGGCTTAGTGTCTGGCCACCAGGAATGCATAGGTGACTGCTTAGGAGCAGGACAGATGGGAACTCATCACTGTGCAAGAGAAAAACTTGTTTTGCAAATGAATGGAAACAACTACCATGCAACAGTGATTTTCTTAATTCTGCAGTCTTTATTTTTACTAATTGTCAACAGGATACCTTTCACTCTGCTGGCATGGAATTCTGGGAGCTGTAGTCCAGGGATGTCAATCTTGCTTCGTTATGTGACATATCATGACTTTTCCCCACCCTTCGCTAAACCCGGGGTGGACATGGCCAGTGAGTGATGCATCAGGCCTGCAAGTTTGACACCCCTGCTGTAGTCCAATATAACTGGAGGTATTTAAATAATAGTTATTTTATATTCCATGCCTTACCTTTTACTGGCATTGCCACCTAAAAAAGAATTGCCCATTTTTATGCCTGCTTTGAAAACTTTGTTATAATAAGTGCTACTATTCAAATTCAGAATGATGTTTTTACAGTTTGTGCTCTCTTGACAGGTGTTTTCTGTTTGTTAAACAATAATTGTTATGTGGCTTACTTTAAATTGTTGTAAATCTGCTTGAGTTATATTTTGTTCTGTTTGATGGGATATAAAATTTTATTTGAGAACATAACAGTGTTACCACAAAAAGAGAAACTTTCCTCATATCTCAGCGGGATTACACGGAGATATTACAACAAAAATGTGTAGATGGGACTACATAGTATGCTAATTGAACTCCATATTATATATTATTATTTTCACTCTTTTAAGTCCAAAAAAAGTGGGAAGATGGCTGATAAAATACACTAAATGACAGGTCAATAGATTAAGCCATAACAGGAAAGATAAAATGTGTTTGTTTATATATTTACTCAAAATCTATTAATTGACTAAATGATTGCTATTTTTACTCAAATCTGCTAATTGGCTTACATGATTGCCATTCTTGTATCATTACTTTGGGATATTTCCTTGAGGTTGCAGAAGATGCTAAGTTGATGGATTTGCTATTCAAATTTAAAACATAGATATTTAGGAAAATGATTATTCTTTTATCTATTTCAATAAAGGAAATAACAAAAAACTTCTTGCATAATAAGTGCTAATATATACCATAAGCTAATAATGAGAAAATCTTATATTAGTTTCATATTATAGTTTATTAAATATTGTCAAGTAGTTTGGACACAACAGAAAGACTGTAATCTTTCAATTACCCAAATATATTTTGGATGCTTTTGGTCTTTGTCGCTGCACAGATAGCCTTGTCTATGAAAACTCTGTCAATCTTACTCTATTGTAAAATACATTGCAAATAAACAGGGGTGGGGGTTGGATGAGTGTTTACAATTGTTACAAAGTGATTTAATAGCAACAGTACCTCTATCTTTTCTGTAGCAATATTTCATCTTGGCTTTCCATTTCTTTCTCCAT